CAGACGCCCTATAGCAAAAACCTTTAAAAAAAAAAAAGAACTGAACCAGAAATGAAGGAAGTAATCCTATTTACAATAACCATAAAAACAATAAAATACCTAGGAATAAACTAACCAAGGAGGGGTCAGCAGATGGCACAGAGGTTAAGTTAGCTCGATCCCATATGGCAGACTGCACAGTTCAAATCCCAGACCTAGTGGCTTGAAAAGCACACTGAGCACATGTGTATGAATGCCCAAAATCGGAGAAGAGAATGGAGGAAGTGGCGTGGCCACTTCCCAGGGGATGATTTCTCACTTTCTGTCTGTCTGACTCTCTCCAGCAACTGCCCATAGCTTATAGCAAATTAAAAAAATTAAAAATTAAAAAATCTAACCAAGGAGGTTAAATATCTCTACAGTGACAACTATTAAAAAAAAAAAAAAAAGAAAAGAAAAAAGGGCAGCTGCTCTTCATGCCCTCCTTGCTGACATCATGCCCCAGTTCTTGCTTAGATTTACTTTGGGCAATGTGGTTGGAATGTATCTGCCTCAGAACTATGACACACCAAACCTGGCTAAAAAGCTTGAAGAAACTGGGGGACCAGCAGGTGGCGTGGTGGTTAAGGCGCTGGACACTCCCACATGGCCAACCACGGTTCAAGTCCTGGACCTGGTGGCTTGCTTTCTCACTTTCCTCTCTCTCTCTCTCTGTGTCTCTGTCTGGTCAAATTAAAATGAAGGAATGAAGGAATGAATGAATGAATAAATAAATAAATAAATCTTCAAAAAAAAAAAAAAGCTTGAAGAAATGAAGAAGGACTTGGATGCCAAGAAGAAACCCACTAGTTCATAAGGCCGACTTCAGCGCTGCCTTCTAGATACGCTGAATCTACTACTCTTGGTTTTTTTTTTTTTTAAATAATCACTTATTTTAAAATTCCATTTCTTTTATCATTTTTAAAAACTTAACTAGACAGAGACAGAGAGAAAGAGAAAGAGAAAGCAAGAAAGCAAGCTGCCAAGTCTGGGATTCAGACCACAGTTGGCCATATGGGAATCCAGTGCCTCTAATCACCATGCCAACTGCCACCACCCTGAAACTATTACTCTTGAGGTCCTCCTTTATCATCCAAACCAAAAAGCTTTTGTTTTCACTCCAGTCTCAATGATTTCCTTCTATCTTAGACCCTGTATTGTCTCAAAATAAAAATGGGGCCACAGTCAAGAACCATTCTTATATTTCCGGGACTAGAAGCTGGCATAATGGCTATGTTGCTGGACTCTCATGTAGTTGACCGTGGTTCGAGTCCCAGACCCAGTGGCTTAAACTCACGCGAGGCGTATGTGCGTGCGTGCCCAAGATCCCAAGAGAAGAATGGAGGAGAAGGGATTTCGGTGTGGCCATCCCCACTGGGGGGTGATTTCTTGTTTTCTGTCTCTCTATC